TGGAGAGCTTCCGGGTTGGTGAAAACTGGAAGTCCCAGAAGGGTGGAATGACTAAGGGCAGCTCCTCACTCACCCCTTTCCTATACCCACCTAGTACCTCTTCCATCTCACTGTTCCCGAGTTATAGCCTTTCTTGACAAACTGGTCATCTAGCAAGTAAACTGTCTTGAGTTCTGTGAATTGTTCTAGCAAATTATCAAGTCCAAGGAGGGGTCACAGGAACCTGATTAATAGCCGGTCATCCCAAGCACAGGTAAGAACCTGGACTTGGAACTGGGATCTAAAGTGGGCCAGTCTGATGGGATTGAGCCCTTAACCTGTGGGATCTGATGCTACTTCCAGGGAGACTGTGCCAGAATTGAGTGAAATTGTACAACACCCAGCAGGTGTCAGAGAACTGAATGGTGTGAGAAAAACCTACACACACGTAGTGGCAAGAAGTACTGGTAGAGTAGAGAAGAGAGGGTTTGTTGCTTTTTTGCCCCCGTTTTGCCTCCCAATAAGCTATTCTGCCCTTTTTCCTTAAAGAACCCCAATTTTTATTTTTATTTATTTTTTATTTTTTTAAGATTTTATTTGAGAGAGTGAGAGAGCGAGCGAGAGCACACGCAGGGTAAGGGCAGAGGGAAGGGGAGAAGCAGACTCTCCTGTTGCGCAGGGAGCCTGACGCAGGGCTCGATCCCAGGACCCTGGGATCATGACCTGAACTGAAGGCAGACACTTAACTAAGCCACCCAGGCACCCCAAGAAACCCAATTTGTAGTTAGACACCTTGCAACCCTGCTAAAAAGCATTTTCCTGCCTCTCTTGAAGCCAGGTATGGTCATATCATTGGCTCAAGAGATGCAAAGGGACGTTTTATGTATGATTTCTGGGAAATTTCCTTAAAAGGCAGGGCTATGTCCCTCCTGCTTCTTCCTCCTTGCCACTTGAATGCAGGTGAAACCACAGCAGCTCCAGAATCCTAGACCCACAGGGAAGCAGCACCTTTGAAGTAGAAGCTTCACACAGTAGAACAAGACAGAGCGGCTGGGTTTCTGATACCAGCAGTGGACTGCCCACCTCCGAAATTCTTCTTAGAAAGACTCCAGCATCTAACTTTCTTAATTGCCATCAAACCTTTCCTAATCAACACAGCACATTCCAAAGATATATGTTCTATTTTTACATTTCTGGCAGTTACTCCATTAACTTATCAGGACCTCTAACTATTTTTATTTTTCCCCATCAATTACTTAGACTTGTAACTATCTCCATTTCCCTACAGAGAAAGAGTTCAGCACATTCCCATCTCTCTCTGCTCTGTACTGCCTCCCATTTCCTCACTTGTCTTCCGTATTGGGATTACCCAGAATTAACTTCTGGACTGTTACTGATACGGGCTGCTTTCTTACACCTTTCTTATTATTCAACTTTTTATTGAAGTACTACATAGAGAATACATAAATCATGAAAGTAAAAATCAAGAAATTTGCACCAAATGAATACATTTACATAACCAGTGCCCTGACCCAGAAACAGGACAGCCCTAGACCCCAAGTGTCCTCTTCATGCTCCCTTCAGTCATCATTTTTCCCACAGCTAACCACTACCATGACCTTGAGACCCCTAGGTAAGTTTTGCCTGTTCTTAAACTTGGTATCAAGAGAACATAGGATGTCGGGCGCCTGGGTGGCTCAGTTGGTTAAGCGACTGCCTTCGGCTCAGGTCATGATCCTGGAGTCCCTGGATCGAGTCCCGCATCGGGCTCCCTGCTCGGCAGGGAGTCTGCTTCTCCCTCTGACCCTCCTCCCTCTCATGCTCTCTGTCTCTCATTCTCTCTGTCTCAAATAAATAAATAAAATCTTTAAAAAAAAAAGAGAACATAGGATGTCATGTTTTGTTTCTGGCTTCTCTCATTCACCATTGTTCATGAACTCAACACTGCTGGGTCCCTATAGACTTTCATGGTGTAAATACACTACAATGTATCTATCCCCTCTATTTTTGGTGGACATCTGGTTTAACTCCAGTTTGCGACTATGACAAGTAGTGCTGTCGTGAACATCTTTGAACATATCTTTAAGTGAGCATGAGATGTATTTCTGTTGGCTGTATGCCTAGGAGTGGTTCGCGGAGTTGTAGAATATGTACATAATTCTTCCTCTAGTAAGGGTTGCCAATCTCCTAAAATCACCCCATTAATTTATATGCCCTATCAGCAGGGCCCAACAATTCAGGGTGCTCCACACCTCAACATCACTTGGTACTGTCCATCTTTTTCACAGCCATTCTGGGGGATGTGCAGAAGCACTGTGTTGTGGTTTTAATTTGTCCTTTCTGGATGACTGCAGAGGTTAACACCTCTCCATATACTTGCTAGCCATCCGGATATCCTCTTTGGTAAATTAACTGTGAAGATCTTTTGCCCCTTTTCTAATGGGATTGCCTAACTTTTTCTTACTGTCTTGGGAGGCGTTTCTTCCAAATTCTGGATCTAAGCATTGTGTCAGACATATGTACTGCAAATCTTTTCTCACCCTGTGGCTTGCCTTTTTTTTTTTTTTAAAGATTTTATTTATTTATTTGAGAGAGAGAGAACACATGAGGGGGGGGGAGGGTCAGAGGGAGAAGCAGACTCCCTGTTGAGCAGGGAGCCCGATGCGGGACTCGATCCCGGGACTCCAGGATCATGACCTGAGCCGAAGGCAGTCGCTTAACCAACTGAGCCACCCAGGCGCCCGTGGCTTGCCTTTTTACTCTCTGGTGAACAGAAGTTCTTAAAAGTCAGTCACCCCCGGGGCGCCTGGGTGGCTCAGTCGTTAAGCATCTGCCTTCAGCTCAGGTCATGATCCCAGGGTCCTGGGACCAAGCCCCGCATCGGGCTCCCTGCTCGGCCAGGAGCCTGCTTCTCCCTCTCCCACTCCCCCTGCTTGTGTTCCCTCTCTAGCTGTCTCTGTCTTTTTTTTTTTAAAGATTTATTTATTTATTTATTTGCGAGAGAGAATGAGAGACAGAGAGCACGAGAGGGAGGAGAGTCAGAGGGAGAAGCAGACTCCCTGCCGAGCAGGGAGCCCGATGCGGGACTCGATCCCGGGACTCCAGGATCATGACCTGAGCCGAAGGCAGTTGCTTAACCAACTGAGCCACCCAGGCGCCCCTCTCTCTGTCAAATAAATAAATAAAATCTTAAAAAAAAAAAAATCAGTCACCCCCTCTAACCATTTCCTTCTCCAAGGTTCGTGGCGTTGTGCCTTGTGTCAGAAATCTTTGCTCACTCCAAAGTCCCAAAGCCCTTGTTTTTCTGGCCAACAAAACACTTCCCTAGGTGTGTGCTCTCTCACATGTTACGGATTCTACTGCGTGCCCCTGGACTCTAAAAGTACCTCCTCCACTCAGGAGCTGTGTGTGGAAAACCTTCCAAGGTCAGCTATGCTAGAGGAAAAAAATATTTCATCTTTACATCTAAGTAACAGTTTAGTAGGATACAAAATTCTTTTAAAGTTATTTTACTTTAACTGAAAAAGTATCTCTTAGATCCATTGTTGCTACTGACTAGTCCGCTTCTTATTTCTTTGTGACTTTTTCTTTCAAAACAATTTGGAATTTTCTCTACATCTTTGTTAAGTTTTTACTCTAGTGTCTAGGCGTGGGCTTTCTTCCTTCCATCTGTTGTGTTTAGCATTCTTTAAATTTCAGACCTTTCCTTTTTTATGATTTCTGAGAAACTCTTGGTCATTATAACCTCAAACATTTTCTTCCCCTTCCTCCGGTCATTTCCTCTCTGCTTCTGAGATTCCTATTATACAAACGTTGACATTTCTAGCCCCTATCCTCCACAGCACTTTGCTTCGCCTACCTTTCATCTCTTTATCCCTCTGAATGCCTTGTAGAATTCTTAAACCTGACCTTCCAACTTCTTCAGTCTTCAGCTACATCCATTCTGCTACTCAACCCATCTCCTGAATTCCGCGTTCCCAAGTATGCCTCCCTATTCCCGCTTCATGTACCCACTTCCTTTCCTTGATGATATTCACTATGCTTACTCCACCCTCCCAGGAGGCTGGGAACATGAATTATGCTCCCACTAGCACAGGCTGTCAATCTGCCATTTTCCTTTCACTCGACTATACCACTTGTCAGCTTCTCATTATGGCTCCCTATGAGCTCTTCATCAGGTGAGACCACACTACTCCTCCAATCACTGCACCCCCTCCAATGAACTCCCCACCTCCCCCAGAGGTACAGCTAGAATCCAGAGTCTCACATGACCCACCACCGTCCCCCGAACCCTCCTGCCATCCCTCCTGGCACCAGCCCCAACACACTCCCGTCAGTCTTCAACAAAGCCTGCTTCTGCCTCGGAACGTCCACCACTGCTGATTCCCTCACCTCCTTTGTGACCCTCAGTGGGGCCTCCCTATCACCATATTTAAATCTGCCCCTTCCCAAAGCCTAGCACTTGATTTTCTTCCGTTTTTTTCCCGCAGTCCTTATAAACCATTGGACGAGTGGGTAGTTCCTGTCTATTTACTGTTCCTTGAGGACAGAAACTTTGTTTACTGCTGTATCCTCAGTATCTAGAAGAGTGTCTGGCACTATTAGGGGAGTAGGGAGGGGAGTGTACCTCAGGAATCTCACTCTGGGCTCATTGGCCACTGGACAGACTTTGCAGAGAGAATCTAACCTTCAGGCCAATTCAAGGAGGCACTGCTCTTTTCCAAAAGCTATCTCCCTTCACTGGAATCTGAGACTTCAGGGTGTGGAAGGGATGGGAAGCAGCAGCACTGGGAAGAGAAAAAGGCAGAACTATAACAGTCTCCCTTGGCCAGTACATCCAGCCTCTTCTGCTCCAAGTTGTCAACACTACCTCCCAGACTGGAATCTCCCTTCCGTCTCCCCTGGGGGTTCCTCACAGTTTTTGTTATTTTCTCTGGGTTCTGTGGCATTTCCAGTTCCAAGAAGGGAGTTAGCAGTCTGGGCTAGCCTTTTGATTGCTGCTGTCACAAATTACCAAAAACTTGCTGGCTTAAAAGAACACAAATTTATTATCTTAACAATGTTGCAGGTCAGAAATTCAAAATGATTCTCACTGAGCTAAAGAGCTGTGTTCCTTTGTAGAGGCTCTAGGGACTTCTAGAGGCCACCCAGTGGCCACTGGCTCATGGCCAGTGAAGTCTTTCTGCTCATTACATCACATGCCCTCCATAATGGCCATCACACAGTTACCCCATTCCCCCACCTCCTCCCCTCCAGCAACCCTCAGTTTGTTTCCTATGATTAAGAGTCTCTTATGGTTTGTCTCCCTCTCCGATGTCATCTTTATTTTTCCCTCCCTTCCCCTATGATCCTGTTTTGTGTCTTAAATTACACATGAGTGAGATCATATAATTGTCTTTCTCAGATTGACTTACTATGCTTAGCACAATACCCTCTAGTTCCATCTACATTGTTGTAAATGGCAAGATTTCAATTTTTGATGGCTGCATAATATTCCACTGTATATATACACACCACATCTTCTTTTCCCATTCATCTGTCTATGGACATCTGGGCTCTTTCAATAGTTATTATGGACATTGCTTCTGTAAACACTGGGGTGCAGGTGCCCCTTCGGATCACATTTGTATCTTTCGGGTAAATACCCAGTAGTGCAATTGCTGGGTCATAAGGCAGCTCTATTTTCAACTTTTTGGGGGAACTCCATACTGTCTTCCAGATGGCTGCACCAGCTTCCATTCCCACCAACAGTGTTAAGAGGGTTCCTCTTTCTCCGCATTCTCGCCAACATCTGTCATTTCCTGACTTGTTAATTTTAGCCATTCTGACTGGTGTGAGGTGGTATCTCATTGAGGTTTTGATTTATATTTCCCTGATGCCAAGTGATGTTGAGCATTTTTTCATGTGTCTCTTGGTCATTCATATGTCTTCTTTGGAGAAATGTGTGTTCATGTCTTCTGCCCATTTCTTGATTGGATTATTTGTTCTTTGGGTGCTGAGTTTGATAAGTTCTTTATAGATTTTGGATACTAGCCCTTTATCTGTCATTTGCAAATATCTTCTCCCATTCTGTCAGTTGTCTTTAGGTTTTGTTGACTGTTTCCTTTGCTGTGCAAAAGCATTTTATCTTGATAAAGTCCCAAAAGTTCATTTTTGCCTGTTTCCCTTGCCTCTGGAGACGTGTCTAGCAGGAAGTTGCTGTGACTGAGGTCAAAGAGGTTGCTGCCTGTGTTCTCCTCTAGGATTTTGATGGATTCCTGTCTCACATTTAGGTCTTTCATCCATTTTGAGTCTATTTTTGTGTATGGTGTAAGGAAATGGTCCAGTTTCATTCTTCTGCATATGGCTGTCCAATTTTCCCAACAGCATTTGTTGAAGAGACGGTCTTTTTTCCATTGGATATTCTTTCCTGCTTTGTTGAAGATTAGTTGACCATAGAGTTGAGGGTCTATTTCTGGTTCTCTATTCTGTTCCATTGATCTATGTGTCTGTTTTTGTGCCAGTACCATACTGTCTTGATGATGACAGCTACATAATATATCTTAGACTCCAGAATTGTGATGCCACCAGCTTTTGTTTTCTTTTCCAACATTCCTTTGGCGATTTTGGGTCTTTTCTGGCTCCATACAAATTTCAGGATTATTTGTTCCAGCTCTGTGAAAAGAGTTGATGGTATTTTGATAGGGATTGCATTGAATGTATAGACGGCTCTAGGTAGCACAGACATTTTAACAATATTTGTTCTTCCAATCCACAAGCATGGAACGTTTTTCTATTTCTTTGTGTCTTCCTCAATTTCTTTCATAAGTGTCCTATAGTTTTCTGAGTACAGATCCTTTTCCTCTTTGGTTAGGCTTTTTTCCTTAAGATTTATTTGAGACAGAGACAGCACGAGCAGTGGAAAGGGGCAGATGAGAGGGTCCCTGCTGAGCAAGGAGCCCAACCTGGGGCTCAATCCTAGGACCCTGAGATCATGACGTGAGCAGAAGGCAGACACTTAACCAACTGCGCTACCCAGATGCCCCTCTTTAATTAGGTTTATCCCTAGATATCTTATGGTTTTGGTACAACTGTAAATAGAATAGACTCCTTAATTTCTCTTTCTTCTGTGTCATTGTTAGTGTATAGAAACGCAACTGATTTCTGTGCATTAATTTTATATCCTGCTACTTTGCTGAATTCCTGTATGAGTTCTAGCAATTTGGGGGTAGAGCATCACGTCATCTGCAAAGAGTGAGAGTGTGTCTTCTTTGCTGATTTGGATGACTTTTATTTCTTCTTCTTGTCTGATTGCTGAAGCTAAGACTTCTGATACTATGTTGAAGAGCAGTGGTGATAGTGGACATCCCTACCATGTTCTTGATCTTAGCGGAAAAGCTGTTTTTCCCCACTGAGAATGATATTCCCTGTGGGCTTTTCGTAGATGGCTTTTATGATATTGAGGTATGTTCCCTCTATCTCTACACCATGAAGAGTTTAAATTAAGAAAGGATGCTGTACTTTGTCAAATACTTTTTCTGCATCTATTTAGTGATCATATAGTTCTTATCCTTTCTTTTGTTAGTACAGTATATCACAATGATTACTTTGTGGATGTTGAACCACCCTTGAAGCCCAAGAATAAATCCCACTTGGTCATGATGAATAATCCTTTTAATGTACTACTGGATCCTATTGTCTAGTCTCTTGGTGAGAATTCTGGCATCCATGTTCATCAGGAATATTGGTCTGTAATTCTCCTTTTTCTTTTTCTTTTTTTTTTTTTAAAGATTTTATTTATTTATTTGAGAGAGAGGATGAGAGGAGTGAGAGAGCACATGAGAGGGGGGAGGGTCAGAGGGAGAAGCAGACTCCCTGCTGAGCAGGGAGCCCGATGCGGGACTCGATCCCGGAACTCCAGGATCATGACCTGAGCCGAAGGCAGTCGCTCAACCAACTGAGCCACCCAGGCGCCCTGTAATTCTCCTTTTTGATGGGGTATTTGTCTGGTTTTGGGATCAAGGTAATGCTGGCCTCATAGAAAGAGTTTGGAAGTTTTCCTTCCACTTCTATTTTTTGAAACAGCTTCAGAAGAACAGGCATTATTTCTTCTTTAAATGTTTGGCAGAATTCCCCTGGGAAGCCATCTGGCCCTGGAATCTTGTCTGTTGGGAGATTTTTGATTACCCCTTCAATTTCCTTGGGGGTTATGGGTCTGTTCAGATGTTCTATTTCTTCCTGGTTCAGTTTTGGTAGTTTATACCTCTCTAGGAATGCATCCATTTCTTCCAGACTGCCTACTTTTTGTTGGTATACTGTTGCTCATAACATGTTCCCTTAGTGTTGGTTGTGATCTCTCCTCTTTCATTCATGACTTTATTTATTTGGGTCCTTTCTCTTTTCTTTTTGATAAGTCTGGCCAGGGGTTTATCAATCTAATTCTTTCGAAGAACCAGCTCCTAGTTTCTTTCATCTGTTCTACTGTTCTTTTGGTTTCTATTTTGTTGATTTATGCTCTAATCTTTATTGATTCTCTTCTGCTGGGTTTAGGCTTTACTTGCTGTTCTTTCTCCAACTCCCTTAGCTGTTAAGTTTAGGTTGTATATTTGACACCCTTCTTGTTTCTTGAGAAAGGCTTGTATTGCCATATACTTCTGTCTTAGGACACCTTTGCTGCATCCCAAAGGTTTTGAAAAGTCGTATTTTCATTTGTTTCCATTAATTTTTTAAATTCTTCTTTAAATTTCCTGATTGACCCATTCATTCTTTAGTAGGATGTTCTTTAAGCTCCATGTATTTGAGTTCTTTACAAATGTCCTCTTGTGAGAGTTTAAGTTTCAAAGCGTTGTGGTCTGAAAATATGCGGGGAATGATCCCAATTTTTGGTACCGGTTGAGACCTGATTTGTGACCCAGTATGTGATCTCTTCTGGAGAAAGTTCCATGTGCACTCGAGAAGAATGTGTATTCTAGTTGCTTTAGGATGGAATGCTTTGAATGTTATCTGTGAAGTCCATCTGGTCCAGTGTGTCATTCAAAGCCCTTGTTTCTTTGTTGATCTTCTGCTTAGATTCTGTCCATTTCAGTGAGGGGGGTGTTAAAGTCCCCTACTATCTTGTATTATTATCAATGTATTTAATCTTGTTATTAATTGGTTTATATAACTGGCTGTTTCCATGTTAGGGGCATAAATATTTACAACCGTTAGATCTTCTTGTTGGATAGACCCTTTAATTATGACATACTGTCCTTCCTCATCATTACAGTCTTTGGTTTAAAATCTAATTTGTCTGATATAAGTATTACTACCTGAGCTTTCTTTTGATGTCCATTAGCATGATAAGTGGTTTTCCACCCCCTCACTTTCAATCTGGAGGGGTCTTTGGGTCTAAAATGAGTCTTCTGCAGACAGCATATTGATGGGTCTTGCTTTTTTATCCAATCTGATACCCTGTGTCTTTTGATTGGGGTATTTAGCTCATTTAAGTTCAGAGTTAACTACTGAAAGATATGAATTTTGTGCCCTTGTATTGCCTATAGTCACTGTTTCTGTATATTGTCTCTGTTCCTTTCTGGTCTATGTCACTTAAAAGATCCCCTTTAATATTTCTTGCAGGGCTGATTTAGTGATCACAAATTCTTTTAGTTTCTGTTAGTCCTGGAAGCTTTTTGTCTCTCCTTCTATTTTGAATGACAGCCTTGCTGGATAAAGTATTCTTGGCTGCATATTTTTCTTATTTAGCACCCTGAATATATATACCATGCCAGTTCTTTCTGGCCTGCCAGGTCTCTGTGGGTAGGTCTGCTGCCAGTCTAATATTTCTACCCTTGTAGGTTACAGACCTCTTGTCCCGAGCTGCTTTCAGGATTTTCTCTTCGTCTCTGAGAGTTGTAAGCTTCACTATTATATGTCGAGGTGTTGACCTATTTTTATTGATTCTGAGGGGGGTTCTCTGTGCCTCCTGGACTTGAATGCCTGCTTCCTTCCCCAAATTAGGGAAGTTCTCCACTATAATTTGCTCCAATATACCTTCTGCCCCCCTCTCTCTTTCCTCTTCTTCTGGGATCCCAATTATTCTAATATTGTGTTGCTTCATGGTATCACTTATTTCTCGATTTCTCCTTTTGTGATCCAGTAGCTGTTTATCTTTTTTCTCGGCTTCCTTATTCTCCATCATTTTGTCTTCAGTATCACTAATTCTTTCTTCTGCCACGTTTATCCTAGCAGCTAGAGCCTCCATTTTTGATTTCATCCCATTAATAGCCTTTTTGATTTCGACTTGGTTAGATCTTAGTTCTTTTATTTCTCCAGAAAGGGATTCTCTAGAGTCTTCTATGCTTTTTTTAAGCCCAGCTAGTATCCTTATAATCGTTATTCTGAACTCTAGTTCCGACATCTTACTTATGTCCATACTGATTAGGTCCCTGTCAGTCAGTACCGCCTCTTGTTCTCTTTTTTGAGGTGAGTTTTTCCGTCTTGTTATTCTGTGCAGAGAAGAATAGATGAACGAGAGAACAAAATACTAAAATGGCAATAACAGCCCCAGAGAAACACCCACTAAACAAATCAGAAGAGACCCGAACCCGAAAATAAATAAGTAAATAAATAAAAATTTTAAAAAGAGAGAGAGAATATAATCAGACAAGGTGAACAGAACAGAGCAATACACTGGGTCCTGTGTGTATTTTGGTCTGTTACAAAACTAAATCCCAAAACTAAAGAAAAAAAAACTAATTTATGTACAAAAATCAACTTAAATACAATGAACAGATAGAATGTAACTGTAAAAATGAAAAACACAAAAGAAAAAAACAAAAAACAAAAAAAGAAAGAGTATAAACAGACACGTGAACAGAACAGAGCTATACACTATATCCTGGGTGTATTTTAGTCTGTCTGTTAGAAGAAACGACATCCCAAAATTGTAAAAAAAAGAAAAACTTGTGTACACACACACACACACACACTGAAAGGACAGAATATAACTGCAGAGATGAAAATTCAAAAAAACTTAAAAAAAAAAAGAATATAATCAGATAGGTGAACAGAACAGAGCAATACACTAGAATCTGGGTGTATTTTGGTCTGTTAGAAGAAACTGCATCCGAAAACTGTAAAAATGAAAATTAAGAAAGACTTAAAAAAAAAAAAAGTTAATAAAATAAGAAATTGGTTGAAAAGGAAAGAGAAAAAAATTAAAATTAAGACTAAAGAATGAGAAAAAAAAATAAACATGAATTCTATACACTATTCTCCCCTAGTTCTGGAGTTTTGCAGTTCTCTATGATGGGTAAACATGGTCTTAGCTGGATATTCTTGCTGATCTTCTGGGGAGGGGCCTGTTGCACTGATTCTCAAGTGTCTTTGCCGGGGCGGAGTTGCACTGCCCTTGCCAAGGGGCTAGGCTAAGCAAGCGGCTCCGGATAGCTCTACGTGGCTTTTGTTCCCTGAAGGCTTCCTGCGCAGCTTTAGAGGATGAGAATGAAAATAGCAGCCTCCCAATCTCTGGCCCCGGAGTGAAGAGCTCAGAGCCCCACTCCTCTGTGTGCCCTTAGGAAAAAGCAGTTAAACATTCCTGTCTCCCAGGTCTCCAGCTGCACTCTGTGATCACCCGGCCTGTGACCAAGCATTTCTATCTCAGGCACGCGACCCTGCTTCGAGGCTCCAGAAGGGGTGGGTCTTGCCGTGGTTCTGCCGCTTGCTGGGCCCCTGCTTGGAGAACGGTTGCCCAACTGTGCCACAGTCTGCAGTTTATGGCAAAACCAAGCTGAAAGCCCACTCATGGGCTCATTGATAACAGCCGGCTTCCCTACGCCGATGCCTGGGAACTCTGCAACACTCAGGCATCCTGGTCTTTCTTTGACCCCGAGGATCCTGAGACCACACCGTCCCATCTAGGATTCTGCCCCTCTTTGCCACCTGAGCGCCTTTCAGGCAGGGAAGTCCCTCACCAGAGCAGACCTCTAAAAGTTCTGATTTTGCACTCAGCTGCTATATCACCTTCCAGTGCCACCTGCCGGAGCTTCCCATATATCGCCTCAGATTCACTTCTCCATACCCCCTACCTTGCAGAAAGTGGTCACTTTTCTATTTGTAGAACTGCAGCAATTCTTTTTTTTTTTTTTTAATCATTGATTTTAAAGATTTTATTTATTTATTTAACAGAGAAAGATACAGTGAGAGAGGGAACACAAGCAGGGGGAGCGGGAGAGGGAGAAGAAGGCTTCCTGCAGAGCAGGGAGCCCGATCGGGGGATCGATCCCAGCACCCTGGGATCACGACCCGAGCCGAAGGCAGATGCCTAATGACTGAGCCACCCAGGCGCCCCAAATTGCAGCAATTCTTTTCTTAGATCCTGGCTGAGTTCACTGGTGTTCAGAATGATTTGATTACTATCTAGCTGAATTCCTGGGACCTAGTCCTCCGCCATCTTGGAAAGTTGCCCAGTGAAGTCTTTGCACATATCATCACTTAAGACACTGCTTCTGTCCTCACATCTCCTGACTCTCCTGCCTCACCTGTTCACCCTGTGATTACACTGGGCCCATCCAGATAATCCAGGATAATCTCCCCATGTCAAGACCCTTAATCACATCTTAATCACTTTGCCATGTAACCTAACATATTCATAGGTTCTGGGGATTAGGACTTGGACACGGAGGGGGCATTATTCTGCATACCATAGCTATATGTCATCTTGTCAGGAACTGGTGACCAGAGTTTCCAAAACTTGAGTCTACAGCTAGGCTTCAGGTTATCTGTAAAATCCTTGAGATTATTGGCAAAATGTTCTATCCTCTGATGTGTTTCTCAAGAGAGAGCCTATAACTTTTGTGATTTTCAAAAGAGCTATGTAAGAGCCCATCACTATCAGTCACTGTCCAAGACCTGACTGAAAGAAGACAGCAAAGACCAACACTATCCCCATAACTATCAGAACACAACACAAATTCCCCCACCTTATACCGTAAGAAAAACTCATTACTTCTTCTGTCCCCTTCTCAGGATATGCACAATTCCACACCGCACACAAACCTCTCCTGAGATAGAGGTGCCTGGGGTCCCAGTTTAAAGGCAGAATAATCCCCCCAGTATGCAAAAAGGGCAACAGTGACTAACAGGCCTGTGGGTAAAAAGTGAGGTGGGATCAAACTTGAAGTCATACAGGACCCCATTTCTGAGCCCTCTTCTTTTCCAGCCAAGCTTCTAATTACAGGTGGAGAAAATAAAAGCCCTTGGCAAAAACAAAGCTGCCTCTTGGCAGAGCAGCTTTCCCAGATCTGGGCCCTTTCTCTTCCTTCTCTTATTCTCAAGAAGGAGAGGCTCACCACCGTGTTCACCCACTCTGATAGCTTTCCTCACATGGCTGCCCAGCATGCTGCTTACCAAAGGCCAGTATTACAGACTTTGGATATGAAATAGACTCCGGATATGAAATGGAACGCTTCTTCATCTGACCCTGAAAAATTTTACTTAGCACAAGTAAATGCCTTAGGAAATAGTGTCTCTCTTACACCTGTGTGCCCAGCCACAAGGGAGAAAAAGGTCACTTACTTTGACTGTAAGGTCTGCCTCGGCCATGTGCCATCTTCATTTTGGGGCTCAATTACTAGCACCTGAGTGAAAGGGGAAACCAAATAAGGAATATGCAAAGCATCTCACTGGTGACGAGCTCAGAACCAGAAGATATCTGGCCACACACCCTGGCAGAGCTGCCTGCTGGGCATGGCCTGAGCCCTCCTACCTGACCCTGGTAGAGCCCAGCATCCTGGACAGTGTTGTCTAGTTTGCTCAGCTGCTCATAGGTGTTGCTCATGTATTTGTTCCATAGTCGTGTTTCACGCTCAGCAGGGATATTGAACAGCTTCCGCATCTCCTTCTCAATGGTTGCTAGAGACAGGCAGAAAGATCACTCAGGATTTCCTCGAGATGCAAGGCTAAAAAGAGCTGTAGCAAGCTAATGCTCATCCTCCTTCCTGTTCGGATGGTCAGTCACAGAGTGCTTTGGACCAAAAGTTCTGACTGACAGCCCCTCGGTTTTTAAGGCCAAATGTCTCCCATGGGAATCCTCTTGCACTCACACACTAGAAACTTTCCCTGTGCTTCTCCTTCTTTAATGAGGTGGGTCCCATTTATAGCACACAAGCAACACAGAAAGGTGAGAAAACTTATCTTTGAAGTTAAGGTAAATGTGATTTCAAATACCAGCCCTGCCACTTGTTTTTTTTTTTTTAAAGATTTTATTTATTTATTTGAGAGAGAGCATGAGACAGAGAGAGCGAGCATGGGAGGGGGGAGGATCAGAGGGAGAAGCAGACTCCCTGCTGAGCAGGGAGTCCGATGCGGGACTCGATCCCGGGACTCCCAGGATCATGACCTGAGCTGAAGGCAGTCGCTTAACCAACTGAGCCACCCAGGCGCCCCTACCACTTGTTTTTTTTAAAGATTTTATTTATTTATTTGACAGAGAGATAGAGAGCACAAGTAGGCAGAGAGGCAGGCAGAGGGAGAGGGAGAAGCAGACTCTCCACTGAGCAGGGAGCCCGACGTGGGGCTCGATCCCAGGACCCTGGGATCATGACCTGAGTCGAAAGCAGCCGCTTAACCGACTGAGCCACCCAGGCGCCCCCCATGCCACTTTCTAACAGAGATTTTTTAATAAGTTACTGTAACCTCTCTGAATCTGCATTTCCTCATCTTTATCACCATTATCACCGCATGTCAGGGATCATGCCCAGTGTTCTATAAAACATGATTCCCAGGCTTAGCTCTCCTCAAGAGCCAGGTCAGGACCAGCACCTACAACCTGAGTCTATGTGGGTAACAGTTCTGGAGGGGGTGTCCGGCTTCGCACCCATCAGCCACAATGCTCTGCACTCTCCCTCCGGATAAGCAGGACCCCAGCCCAGCTACTCACCAATGGTGTCTGCCTTGCTGAAATGGCAACTCAGCACGTTGGTGGGGTCACTATTCTCACAGAGCTTCAGTTCCAGCAAATACACCTCCACCTTGCAGTGCTTGACAAACAGGCCATGCTCCACCACCTGCAAACAAGAGGCACAGGTGAAGGAGCAGGGGTTCCACACCAGGCAGTCTTGGAAACAATAGGTTTCATTAGTGGTAAGAGGCAGAATCCACACAATAATCATTTTCCCTAAGTGATCAGGGGATCAGGACAGATTTTTAAAGCCACCAGCAACTGTCTAAGAGTTGAAAATCTTTCTCCCCTTCATGAGGGAGAGCACCCGGATGGAGCCAGAGCTAGCTACAACACTGCCCAAAGGGAAGCCACTGTTCATCTCTAAATCAGGATCATGAGGTTTCCCTTGCAGGGTTTGTCGAATGAAAGGACTAGAGAACGTAGCTAAATCCCTGTGGTAGCAGAACACTTACCATATGGCAACACTGTGGGCATGAGGGGACATCTGCAGGAGACTGGCACACTCCCAACTTTTTGATCCCTAACCCCTCTCAGGGGCCCAGGTTTCCAGCTGGAGAAAGAAGGTCGTTCTGGCCCCAAACAATGACTCTTACTTAGAAGCATGGCCTCAGGACTGCAGATCTTTCCTACTCTGAGAAGGGAAACTACATACCAGGGAGAGTGAGAAATTTACCCAATGTCTACCTATTAGCAGGCATGTGATGTCCCCTCTGGTAGGACAAGCAAATGACTGTGAGAGTCAGGGTGGATGGTCTTCTCCTAAGTCCCATCTACCAGAGGGGTAAAGAATCTGGGTTTCGATCGTATGGCCCGCTTTCCCTCAGGAGGCTATTCTTCTCTGGCTTATGAACACCTGCTTTTTCAGATATTCAACAGTGTGGCCAAAGACTCATAAGCATAGAGGAAAAAGCAGTCTCAGAGAAGTTGTAAGATAAACAAGCAGTACATTACTGTATGTCCATATGACCCCAAGTAAACTCTCTCTCATAGAGCCTTCCAGAAAGTGCTCTCATGGCACTGCTGGATACATCCCAAGCCACTGGGCAGCTCTGATGTTTGGAGGCCACTCACTGTAACATCTCAGGTGAGCAACCTCACTCACCACCACTCACGACCACAATTCCCTAAAGAGAACCAGAAACAAGGCCTCAAACACCTCTATTCGACCACTTAGGTACATCCAGTAGCCGAGAAAACCAACACCAGTCAGTGTCCCCAGAGAGCACTCGCAGACACTGACCGGCAACTGCGACAATTCGTGTACTCACTTTTCTGACAATGGGCTGCTGGCCTTCTACACAGCCATACCAGTTTAGTAATTTATTCCAGGCCTCTGTTGGGACCAATACATAGTCCAATTCATCAATTAAATGTTCTTTCAAGGTCTGACTCTCAGGATCTGAAAAAAGAAAACAGCTCATAACTCACTGCTCTTCTCCCCAGAAATATTTGTTTTACAGGATTCTTATGTACTTTTCAGAAATAAGAAAATTATTTATAGGAACAAGTACAAAATTCCAAAATTCTGTCACTGGCCATAACACAGAGCAGACCTGACAACTGTCTTCAGCCACGCCTTCAAAGGAACGTGTATTTCTTCTATAATGAAATGGAGTAGGGAGAATAAAAAACTCCAATTTACATTTTCAACATGCTTCCAGATTCCACAATGAAAACTGTTAATTACGAATATTTAACATAATATTCTGCTTAGTGAAACTTCATTGAGGTCAAGTATCTTCTGAAAGGTTTACTAAAAAGCAACAAACCCATCATTGAAGTTAACTTTATTTTACCAAGAGTCATTCAATATTCTTAGTTTTCCAGTCCAAGTCAAAACCCAGCTGGACAACCCCTTATGGAGGGGGAATGTCTTTAACACCCTAACATGCTAAACATCCACCTCACACCTACCACAGGCAGGCAACATGACTAGGAGTCAGAAGCGGACATCCACAATCAGAAACACACCCTCAACTGACGACCAAGGAACTGGATCAAGGGAACGCTGATCACCTCCCATCAACAGAGCCTCTCTGTGCCCAGCAACACCCAGTCCTGCTGTAGTGGGTACAAAAGTACCCACAATGGTGCAACTCATCTGTAACTCAAGGCATATGATGTGTTTTTTTTTAAAGATTTTATTTATTTATTTGACAGAGAGAGAGAGAATGAGCACAAGCAGGGGGAGTGGCAGGCAGAGGCAGAGGGAGAAGCAGCTCCCCACAGAGAAGGGGGAGCCCGATGTGGGACTCAATCCCAGGACTCCAGGATCATGACCTGAGCCGAAGGCAGTCGCTTAACCAACTGAGCCACCCAGGCGCCCAAGGCATATAATGTTAAAAACAAAAACCAAAACCATAAGCAGCGTTCATAAAGTGACTGCGGCTTCCCATCACCCACACCCCCCTTCACCCCCACACCAGTTTATACCCTATCCCATCAGCTCTTCTGTCCTTCCTTATATCAAGTTTCAGATCTGATCCACCTCTGCTTTTTTCATTTCCAGGGAGAATAGGAAAGGAATTAAATAGCAGCGAAGGACAGGAATACCAAGGTGAGATGGGTGAACGGATAAACATGATAGGATATATACCTACAGCGGAATATTATTCAGCCTTCAAATGGAAGGGAATTCTGACACATGCTGCAAGGATGAACCCAAGAATATTATACTAAATAAAATAATGCAGTCACAGAAAAACAAATACTTAACGACTTCACTTAAATGAGGTATCTGGAGTAGTCAGATTCAAACACAGAAAGTAGAATGGTGGGCGCCTGGGTGGCTCAGTTGGTTAAGCGACTGCCTTCGGCTCAGGTCATGATCCTGGAGTCCCTGGATCGAGTCCCACATCGGGCTCCCTGCTCTGCAGGGAGTCTGCTTCTCCCTCTGACCCTGCTCTCTCTCATTCTCTCTCTCAAATAAATAAATAAAATCTTAAAAAAAAATAAATAAATAAAAAAAATAAAAATAAAAAAGAAAGTAGAATGGTGGCTGCCAGGGGCTCGGAGAAAAGGAGATTGGGAGTTATTGTTTAACGGGTGGGGGGGTTTCAGTTTTGCAAGGCAAAAAAGTTCTGGAGATTGGTTGCAAAACAATGTGAATATACTTAATACTATTGAACTATACACTTACAAATGGTCGAGATGATAAACTTTGTTATGTATATTTTACCATAGTTAAAAAAAAAAAAAAGATGGATCCTCCTCATTGGTGAGCCAACCACTTTCCACAGCAGCTCTGGCATGATTATTAACACTGACAGAGCAGGCCTTTTCTGTTGAGCAAGAGAAGGATGATCCACTGGTATCGATCTGCTTGAGACAAAAGCTTCCCCCCCCAAATTGACACTTTTCTCTGATTTACAAATTAAACTTTTCTGAATTATAAATTAAACCTTTCTCTGATTTATAAATTGAAACTCATAGAAGTTATTCACTTCTTGTCTTACTCAGGGAGATACATTTCTGCCTTTCTAACACTAAGCACTACGCAGATCTGGCTATACACACTGTGCCGAGCAGCCGCCAGAAACCTTTAAACGTGGGAAAGGAACACACCGCTTTCAGCATCACCAACCCCAAGTACATCATTTCCATGGGGCATTTTCCCCTCTAAGGCTCTGTGATGATTTTCGCACACATCCCTCTTACACACTCAGTGCAAATGCAGGAAACATGACTGGAATTCCCAATTCAGTTTACTATTTTCACTTGAAACAGGATCACTCTAAAGGCATCATGCTCAAAATCACACAGAGGTTTGGGGCACCTGGGTGGCTCAGTCGTTGGGCGTCTGCCTTCGGCTCAGGTCATGATCCCAGGGTCCTGGGATCGAGCCCCACGTCGGGCTCCCTGCTCTGCGGGGGGCCTGCTTCTCCCTCTCCCACTCCCCCTGCTTGTGTTCCTTCTCTCGCTGTGTCTCTCTGTCAAATAAATAAATAAAATCTTAAAAAAAAAAAAAATTAAAAAAAAAATCACACAGAGGCTTGGGAATTAGGATTTAGTCTCTGCAAATTTCTTCCACAGAGGCAAATAAAGGGGAAAAATGAGAGCACTGCTTGGCCTAAGCACAGGGATTTCATCTGATATACAGTAGAGGCAGAGGTGGAAAAAAGAAAAGGTGCTCTGCAGACAACGTAAGGAAGGATATGCTAGAGCCCATCCTTCCCACACTTTCAAGAGCCCCATCCAGCCACTACCATGTCCGTAGGTGAAAGGCAGCCTGACTGGGACTGACAGGTGACTGACAGCCTGGGAACTGAGGGGGTGACCCTCATTCACCAGAGATAGGTCATTCCTGTACCGTCAATGTTCTAAGCAGGGTCTGAACAGAATGTACTTCTCACCTCCTAAGCACATAGCAAATGTTTCAACGAAAAGCCAGATGACATTAAATTGGGAGACCATGGAAGAAATGCTTGCCCTTAGCTGAAGGTCACGCAAAATGATTTCACAGAGCCCCTCTAGCCCTAGGATTCTCATCATTAGTATTCTTAAAAGCATTAAGAGGGCACCTGGGTGGCTCAGTTGGTTAGGCGACTGCCTTCGGCTCAGGTCATGATCCTGGAGTCCTGGGATCGAGTCCCGCATCAGGCTACCTGCTCAGCAGGGAATCTGCTTCTCCCTCTCCCGCTCCCCCCTCTTGTGCTCTTTCTCTCTCTCACTCTCTCTCTCAAATAAATGGGTAAAATCTTTGGAAAAGGAAAAAAAAAAAAAAAAGCATTAAGAAATCTTCTATTTAGGGGCACCTGGGTGGCTCAGTCGGTTAAGTGTCTGCCTTCAGCTCAGGTCATGATCCCAGGGTCCTGGGATCAAGCCCCACATGGGGCTCCCTGCTCGGCGGGAAGCCTGCTTCTCCCTTTCCCACTCCCCCTGCTTGTGTTCCTTCTCTTGCTGTGTCTCTGTCAAATAAATAAATAAAAATCTTAAAAAAAAAAAAGGGGGGGGGCGCCTGGGTGGCTCAGTCGTTAAGCGTCTGCCTTCAGCTCAGGTCAGGATCCCAGGGTCCTGGGATCAAGCCCCATATCGGGCTCTCTGCTCCACGGGGAGCCTGCTTCTCCCTCTCCCAATCCCCCTGCTTGTGATCCTGCTCTCACTGTGTCTCTCTCTGTCAAATAAATAAATAAAATCTTTAAAAAAATAAAAAATAAAAAAAAAAAAGAGGGGCACCTGGCTGACTCAGTCAGTACAGCATGCAACTCCTGATCTTGGTGCTGTGAGTTTGAGCCCCACATCGGGGTTAGAGATTACTAAAGAAAAAAAAAAAAGGTAGGGGGAGGAAAAGTGCAAACACACTGCTGTGCTCCCTTATGCCAACTTCATGGTGTGATGCCACCATCTGACCTACATCAGGAAACAAAGCACATGAATTATTATGTCACTTGACCTCCCCTAAAACAAGTCTGAGCTGAAGCACTGCCCATTTTCAAAAAACACGCAGGTTAGGGGCGCCTGGGTGGTTCAGTTGTTAAGCATCTGCCTTCTGCTCAGGTCGTGATCCCAGGATCCTGGGATCGATCCCCGCATTGGGCTCCCTGCTCGGCAGGAAGCCTGCTTCTCCCTCTCCCTCTCCCTCTCCCCCTGCTTGTGTTCCTTCTCTATCTCTCTCTGTCAAATAAATAAATAAAATTTTTCGGGCGCCTGGGTGGCTCAGTTGGTTAAGCGACTGCCTTCGGCTCAGGTCATGATCCTGGAGTCCCGGGATCGAGTCCCACATCGGGCTCCCTGCTCAGCAGGGCGTCTGCTTCTCCTTCTGACCCTCCTCCCTCTCCTGCTCTCTGTCTCTCATTCTCTCTCTCAAATAAATAAATAAAATCTTAAAAAAAAAATTTAAAAAAAAAATTTTTTTTTAAATAAATAAATAATGAAAATAAAAAACACCCAGGTTAATGAGAGACGATGGACTCTGAAAAACAAACTGAGGCTTCTAGAGGGGAGGGGGATGGGAGGATGGGTTAGCCTGGTGATGGGTATTAAAGAGGGCACGTTCTGCATGGAGCACTGGGTGCTATACACAAACAATGAATCATGGAACACTACGTCAAAAACTAATGATGTAATGTATGGTGATTTACATAACAATAAAAATTGGAGAAAAAAAAACCCACCCAGGTTAGTGTTAAGTACTTGGATCAAGCCTCATACATGTCTGCCTTCCTACTGCTCTGGTTTTGGACATAATCAATAGATCACTCTCATCTTGCTTGCAAGGGAGTCTAAAGCTTAGCAGAACACAGCCTGGGAAAGGTCAACTGTCATATCTATGCATCTACAGGTACAAGCCCAGCTCTGGTATGTCATGCATCATTTTTTCAATCACTTCTTCCAATGGGAGCTGACTGTGATAACTCTACCTTCCATCTCTCCTCACACACTCCTATGACAAAGAACCATCATAGGAATGCTTGATGGATGTAAACAGGTCTGCAATTTGTTCCACTGCAATGGTAACACAGAAAATTCTGGTGCCCAAATTTCAGATTCCAGATGCAATTTCAAAATAATATCCTATTTCTTTCCATTCCACATGCGAGTCTAAAATCTGACATCTCGAACAAAACTATTTTGCAAAAAGAAAAATACTAGAAGCATGCTCTTGTGTGAAGCACTTAGTTTAGGGAAAAAGTAGCTTTAGTCCTCCCTGACGGTCTTACAAAGATGTCTGCTATAGATGCAAATCAAGGACACTTGTTTCTACCCCATCACAGCAGGAAAGTCAGGTTCACAATATCCCTGTTACCAATAAACACGACCTCAGGTCACTGCCTAGGTGGGTATTTCAGTTAGAAAAGCAATGGGATACTATACCTGAAAAGAGTCCGGAGTTATCTATTGGGCCAGGAAATAGATTGTGTTCACCCACATTGTACATATCCCAGCTGTCGAAACCCACATACTTCTTCCACTGCTTGAACCACCGGCTGTCAATAAGATACCTAGAGACAGATAAAAATTTACTATACCAGAAAAACTGAGGTTCTAAGTTTTTGCAGTTGCTCCTTTAATTTTTTTTATGATCTTTCCACCTGGGGAACACACACTCCCCATTCAAAAACACATTCTCAAGAAAAAGAGCAGGACTAGGCTTCAGATGGCACAGACAGACTGGCCCAAGACAGGGGTCCACTAAGTGAAATGACTGTTGAAAGAATGAATAGAGGCACCTGGCTGGTTCAGTCAATCTGGAGTGTGTGTGCAACTCTTGATCTTAGGGTCATGAGTTCAAGCCCCATGTTGGGCATAGAGCTTACTTAAAAATAAATATTTTTATTAAAATACAACAACAACAACAACAAAAGACAGGTGCCTGGGTGGCGCAGTTGGTGTCCAGCTCTTGATTTCAGCTCAGGTCGTGAGATCAAGCCCCATGTCGGGCTCCTTGCTCAGTGTGTGGAGTCTGCTTGAGATTTTCTCTCTCTCTCTCTCTCTCTGCCTCTCCCCCCACTCACACACTCTCACTAAATAAAATCTTTAAATTAAAAAAAAAAAAGAACGAGGGGTGCCCAGGTGGCTCAGTTAAGCATCTGATTCTTGGTATCAGCTCAGGTCCTGATCTCAGGGTTGTGAGTTTAAGCCCCACATTGGGCTCTACACTGGGCATGGAACCTACTTAAAAAAAAAAAAAAAGAATGAATAGATAAAAGGAAATGATTGGCTTCAAAATGCTTATTTAAGTGAAGTCCTCCTATGAGTAAAATCTTGTTTGCCAAGGAGCAAGTCATTAATTTCATAATGATCTTTAAAGAGGTCCTTGTTGGGGCACCTGGGTGGCTCAGATGGTTGGGTATCTGCCTTCAGCTTGGGTCATGGTCTCCAGGTCCTGGGATCGAGCCCTCCATCGGGCTCCTAGCTCAGTGGGGAGTCTGCTTCTCCCTCTCCCTCTGCCTCTCCCCCTGCTTGTGCTCTCTGTCTCTCTCTCAAATGAATAAATAAAATCTTAAAAAAAAAAAATTAAAAATTGTACATATCCCAGCTGTCGAGACCCACATACTTCTTTATTAAGAAGTACTGGGCACCTGGGTGGCTCAGTTGGTTAAGCGACTGCCTTCGGCTCAGGTCATGATCCTGGAGTCCCGGGATCGAGTCCCGCATCGGGCTCCCTGCTCGGCAGGGAGCCTGCTTCTCCCTCTGACCCTCCCCCCTCTCATGTGTTCTCTCTCTCTCATTCTCTCTCTCTCAAATAAATAAATAAAATCTTTAAAAAAAAAAAAAAAAAAGAGGTCCTTGTCCAGAACAGCAAGTTTGGTTATACTGCTTGACATGAAAAGCATTAAACTAATTCTCTTTCTGAAAATGGGAAAATAACACCATACAATTCAGGTTTCCTTTGAGTACCAAAGAAGACATTTTAAAAACGTGTGCTTGGGGCGCCTCAGTGGAGTCTCCCTTCGGCTCAGGTCATGATCTCAGGGTCCTGGGATCGAGCCCCACATTGGGCTCCCTGCTCAGCGGGAAGCCTGCTTCTCCCTCTCCCACTCCCCCTGCTTGTGTTCCCTCTCTCATTGTGTCTCTGTCAAATAAATAAATAAAATATTTAAAAAAAATAAAAACGTGTGCTTAAAATAAAAAGTACACACACACATATAATAGTGTCTAGGTATGGTACTATACATACGTAATAGTCTCTAGTCTCTAATTATTGATCTGGTTATATTTTAAAAGTACCACTATGAAAAAATAAAAAAATGTAAGTATCACTCAATTAAGACAGAAGAAGTAAATCTCTGTGGAGAAAAAAAGCACAATTATATCAGTGAGTCCTTTAAGTTGTTCCTGTTGTTGTTTTTAAGATTTTACCTATTCATTTGAGAGAGAGAGTGGGAGAGAGAGAGTGAGAGAGCACAAGCCGGGGAGAGGGAGAGGGAGAAGCAGGCTCCCCGCTGAGCAGGGAGCCCGATGCGGGACTTGATCCCAGGACCCTGGGATCATGACCTGAGCCGAAGGCAGATGCTTAATGACTGAGCCACCCAAAACAAACCTCAGCAATCAGGCAGCTTCCCAGAGGCCACAAGGATTCATAAATACATCCAAATCTTTAAAATGCTCTTTTCCCTCCAAACACTTTTAGTGTGTGATCTTAGTCTATTTCAAACTTCCTCTGGTTCTGCTGAATATTCTTCGTATGTGACCCCTATGCAAGGTAACTTCTGCTTCCCCTGCCTCTCACAGCTTGGCCAGCTGTACAGCCCTATCAGAACTCCTCCTAATCCCAATGCTTCCCTTCCCTGGTCAATTCCTCTGTTACCTAAGTGGCATTATCAACACCACCATAATTTCTTAAAGATGGATGTTCAATCATATTCGATGCAAAGCCAAGCCCTAGGTTTCTACTCTCACATGATAATACCACCCAGGAATCTCCTCACTAGTGAAGTATTGTCCCTTCTACTAAACAATTTATTAAGAAACCTCCTATCTCCGACTTGCTTTTCTAAACCTTGGACTTTTAATCTTTTCATCTAGGCTCTAAGCTATCCTCCTCTCCCACTCCGAAATATTGCTGCCACAATTATTTTTGACATCTGCCACCAAAATAACCTGGGGCTCTCAAACATTTGTTCAACTTCTGACCTTGACATCTGTTCCGCAGTTTACAAGTTACAAAAGTATCTACTTCTGATCTTCTCCTCAACCCATAAGGTGGGGGTGCCAAATATTGCTACCCGGGCTTTAACAGTAAGGCACCAGGGTCTGGGAGATGTGGTCGCCTTCGCTCAAGGTCACACAGCGAGTCCTCGAAAGTAAAAGGCTCTTCCCATCCAGAAGGTCCCCGTAAGCACTCCCCTATTCCCCCTCCTGCAGCCCTTGCCCCCACCGGATCCGCCCTCTGGGGCTCCGAATGGGCCAGGACAACCCCCACACTTTCCCCGAGGTGATTCTGTGGTCCCTCTCCTGAGAGGCACGGGCCAGGACACCCTCTCAGGGTCACTCACACCGCCCCGGCCCGGCCCCTACCCAAGCCGGGAAAGAGGGGTCCGGCCTGAGGGCCAAAGCCCCTGCCCCTGGGCCTGGGCGGCGGAAACGCGGGTCCGGTGCTCACCACTGCGCCCCACGTTGGAGCGTGGTCCTCATCAAGGCCCCGAGCTCGGATTTCTGAGTCTCCGCATCCGGCCGCTCACGGCAGCCTCCACCTTCCGCCATCTCGTCCACGGCCCCGGCCCAGCCGGCCCGGACATCCGCCTCGCGCACGGCGTGGTGTGGGCCGCGCCCACGCACGGACGCAAGCACGCACGCGCGCCCGCGCGCTCCCAAGCCCCACCTCGCGCTGCGGCCTCGAACGCCCTCCCTCCCGCCTTTGCTTTTCCTCCCCACCTCTCACGCATCGTCCCTCTCCCACGGGTGCGCCGCGGAGCCAGGAGGGGGCCGGAAGAGGAGGTGGGCGCTGGCAAACTAGCCGCCTCTTCCTCCCGCCCTGCGGGTGGAGCCGCGGCGTGGTTGTTCCGCGTCCCTTTCTCTGTCTAGCCCTGCCATCTCTAGGGCCCTGACCGCAGGCCCCTCGACCCCTCGGGCAACCCGTCCAGGCCGGCGGTGTTAGCCTGCTCTTAGATAAACCCAGGGCCAGGTACGAGAAGCCCAGGAAGTAGCTTTTCTTGTTTTGAGCTGGAGACCTTAGGCCAGTCGTTAGCCGCCCAAACCTGAGATCGGGGTGCCTGCCCTGGAGGCCCTACAGGGATTTTGGGGACTGCCGGGTGCACCAGCGCGTTGGGACCGGGACTCGATGGTGCGGTCTAGTCATTAACACTCCTCTCAAACAGTCTAGACGCCAGAATCAGCCCACGACAGAATTCCCCAAGCCCTCCACACTGAGATAGCTACTTGCCTTGGCAGGGAGACAGGCAGCCGCTGAGTGGCGATAGCAACGGGGGAAGAAGGAGAGGTCCAGGTGTGTTCTCCACATTAGGTGCTCAAGCTGCTTCTTAATTTGTTGCTGCAACAAGATGCAGTGTCCTGAACACTGTATGTTTTCCACTCGACCCTGCATACAAAAAGCACAGCCCTCCTCATGGAGTGGGAAGTAAGCCCAGAGCAAGGAGGAGACCGGGCAGCTGGCTAGCTGCTGGTCTAGCAGTTCCTGCCCTCAAAAATAAGTCACAGTGCCCGAATTGAAACAATCTAATGGAGAAGAAATCCTCCACAAATAACCCCAGGGTTAAGCAGTGTGTGGTAGGTAAGTGCCATTAAAGGGTATGAACCAAAGACTGTAGACCCCCGAGCTTGTGAAAGGCAGACTTTGGCTTGGTAGCATTTGAATGTGGTTTTAAAGAAGCATAGAAATCGTGGTGCATGCTATAGGAAGGGAAATTACAGGATCAGTTTCTGGAACAAGAAGGGCAGAATCAAAGAGCGAGGGTTAGACCAATTAAGTTGGGCACAGACTACTGGAACCTTCGATCTAAAGCTAAAACAGAGGCCAGAAGGGCCACATATTCTGCTTTAAATGGCCCACAGATATTGTAAAAGGTTTTGGAGCAGAGACAAAATGGCTGAGGGTGCTTTATACCCACAATGGTGAAGCCCAGGAGAGACCTGTTAAGAACCTTTAACTGGAGAGATGGCAATGAGGGAGGAGAGGAGAAAGAGATGAGCCTTGTTCAGTGTTGGGGATGGAGGAGGGAGCACTGGCCAGGTGAAGGTGTGGTAGGTCATTTGAGCAGATTTACTATTTTAATGTCCGGGTTTGGCTGATTGAAATTAACATGAATGGGATTTGCACTGCCTGGGACACCCTTCAGGTACCATATGGTAACACAGGCCTCTTCGTAGCTGGGTAGATAGGAGAGGAAAAGGAAATTTGGAATTAAAACCGCCTTGAATAACCGAATAACCTTATAGCTGTTAATCCTCTGCAGACAAGAGTTACCACCACGTGGTAATTCTACATCTGGGAAGCCAGCCCTGACAATCCGAGTGCCTTTCTGTGAAACTTATATGAAAGCGTTAAAAATGTTGTGAAATAAGAAACAGTACCTTCAGCCCTGTTATTTATGGAAAAAGAAAGCTGGGTTATCGACATGACTTCAGAACCTACATTAGAGGGTGTCTACTCTCTTTTTCTTTAGCAACTTCTCCTTTACCATTTATGACATGGGTCAGAGTCTTAAGGAAGTAGGACAAGTCCTCAGCACCACTAGAAAAGGGGACAAAACCTAATTATAAATAAGAAAACTTTGGAAAACCTTTTTTTTTTTTTTAAAGATTTTATTTATTTGACAGAGAAATACAGCGAGAGAGGGAACACAAGCAGGGGGAGTGGGAGAGGGAGAAGCAGGATTCCCGCTGAGCAGGGAGCCCGATGCGGGGCTGGATCCCAGGACCCTGGGACCATGACCCGAGCCGAAGGCAGACGCCCAATGACTGAGCCACCCAGGCGCCCCCTTTGGAAAACCTTTTTAAGGCAGGATCTCTTCAGTGCTATTAAATGGCTGTAAAAATCTTGCTCTAATTGTGGGTAGTTCCTAAAAAATTTACACTAAGATCACAAAGTGCCAGTAGTTAAAATGCGAGGAATAGGGGGCACCTGGGTGGCTCAGTCTGTTAGGAGGCTGCCTTTGGCTCGGCTCACGATCCCAGGGTCCTGGGATCGAGCCTCGAGTCAGGCTCCCTGCTCAGAGGAGGGCCTGCTTCTCCCTCTCCCTCTGTCTGCCTCTCTGCCAACTTGTGCTCTCTCTCTATCTCTGCCAAACAAATAAAATCTTTAAAAATATATTTAAAAATGCGAGGAATAAGGTGAAACTTCATAGAAAGTCATTATTTCCAAAGTATTAAAACATTTTTAATGGGGTGCCTGGCTGGCTCAGTCGCAAGAGCATATGACTCTTGATCTCAGGGTTGTGAGTTCGAGCCCCATGTTGGGTACAGAGATTACTTAAATAAACAGAAATTTTTTAAAAAATTAAAAAACAGAACACTTTTAGTGAGTTTCATTAAAGTGTTAAAGATTGGGAACTAGAAACAATAAACATCTGCCTGTGTGTTCCTGCTGTTGTGGATGACCTGTGGATTTGGGAGGAAATGAGTGATTCAGCTCAGGAGACACCCTGGCACCAGGGCATGTTCTCTGTTGGGCCTTTTACCTTAGGGAGAGGTGTAGGCCAACTAGGGCACTCGCTTGGCCTCATAACCAAACTCCAGAACTGAACAACCCACCCATTGCCATGATAGCTTGGGCCACAAGAACAGGAAAGAAAGCATGAAGGGAGCTATAGAGGAAACAGGTTTGACTGATTGGTCACATATTGCTTGATCGTGGACTGTGATGACCTAATTGAGAGTTTGTAATGTCTGGGTGTGTGAACTTTAAGTTCTTGCCTTGGCTGGCACTGTGGCTTGCCCTACACCTAACTAGAGTTGGCCCTCCAAGGTAAGGAGCGGTCCACACTAGGGCCAGCAGTGACAGAGCACATGTGGCAGTGTTCACAAATATTGGGCAGCTTTTGATTACAGCTCTCTTCAGGGAAGAATTATTCTTGTTTCCTTCTTGTCTGTGCTCCTTTAACCTGCCCAGGGGACTATGAAAAAGTAAAAGGCTCTAGAAGGACATTTCAGAAGATTTAAACATCAATGACGTTATAACCTCTGTTACAGAAGGATTAGATTACTGGGGAAGGTGACAGGCAAAGACCTGAAGGAATCTCAGAGAGGAAGCGGGGATCATCTTTCCTACACTGAAGACTCATGCTGTTGGACAGATTCCATTCTGGTTATGCCACTCTTGGTGGCCAGCCCTGACTGGGCAGAGAGGGTGTGGGTTCCTGGGCCCAGGTGTGGCCAGTATCTTCTCTTCCTCCTCTAATTCTATTACCATTGGTGTCTTCCCAAATACACAAGTATTTAGCTTTTAATTGTGTTGTTTGCCCTTTGTACAGAGAAAATTCTCAATAGGCCTTTCTGGGATGAATGAATGGAAGAATACCAGATACTAGTCATTTTTTCATTTGACTAATAATCTATTACACACAGGTACTCATAGTCCCTTCCCTCCAGAGATAAACAGCCAGTATGGTTGGGGAAGACATTTTCACATGTAATTACAGTTTGTGTGGTGTGTGATGAAGTGCTCCAGGAACATGGAGGGTGATGCTGCAGACACTTTGCTGGGGAGGAAACCTAAGCAACTGGTATAGGGAGCCAAGACATGCTAACATTCCCCCTGGACTTTGGGCATGTATGATGAGTCTGCAAGGGATGCCCAGGGGACCAGGGCATCTTTAAATTCACACACACATGTACAGAGGCATAGCTATGTGCTGCGGACAGAGGAGGCTAGGGTAGCAGGTGCTTCCTCTGCAGGGAGACTCGGATCCCCTCCATTTGCCTCCCTGTGGAGCCAGGTGGCCTGTAGGACTGTAAGACACCGCCCAAGGCCAGCTACACATTCCCCTGGATACTGCTTGGACTCTAGGCATTTGAATGAAGTGGGCCTGTTTTGTGGTCTCTTACTCTGGCCTTTCTGGCTGCAACCATACTAGGCCTGGGGAGGGGGGCATTGGGAGGGGGTGTTCTGTCTGAGATGAGTGATGGAAAGGCTGCTGGGCCTCTGCCTAGCACAACACTGTAGTATCAGGTCAGTCTCAGTGCCTCTGGATACAACTAACAGAATATCCATCAGCAGGCTGCCTACCTAGTTGGTGATTTTTGTTTTGCTTTCTCACATGACAAATCTAGAGTTGAGTTCTTGGGGAGGTCAAAGCTGAAGGATGTCATGTGTCTGGTAACTTGTGTGACCAGCTCGAGCTGGGCTTTATTTTAGAGCCATCCCAGCCATGTCACACCTCCGTATATGAAAGCATGCTCTTCCAGCCTATTTGTTGATTGTTAATATAACAAAAACCTGCCAACTTCAGGGTTCTTTGGCAGGAATCACTGCCCATTCTTTATAGATCCATGCTGTGTATTCTTAGGGAAATCTTTAGGCAGTGTTTTTTACTTAGTATTATCCAAAAGTTTGAACTTAAGAGATTTATTGAACTGGGGTGCCTGGGTGGTTCAGTCGGTTGAGCGTCCGACTCTTGATTTCCACTCGGGTCATGATCTCAGGGTCGTGGGATCAAACCCTGTGTCAGGTTCTGCGATGGGTATGGAGCCGCTTGGGATTCTCTCTCCCTCTCCCTCTACCCATTCCCCCCCAACACCTCCCTTGTGCACGTGCTCTCCCTCTCTTTAAAAAAAAAAAGATATAAAGAGATTTATTGAACTGA